TGGCTCTCCTCTGGACTCTCTCAAGCTTTTCCACATCCTTCTTGAATTGTGGAGCCCACAATTGGATGCAGTACTCCAGCTGTGGCCTCACCAAGACCGAGTACAGCAGGAGGATGGCATCCTGAGATTTACTTGAGAAGCATCTATAGATGCAATCCAGAGTTTGATTTGCTTTACCAGCTGTGACACTGCATTGGTGGCTCATGTTCATCTTGTGGTCAACCATGACCCCCAAGTCACTTTCAGCCTTGGTGGTAGCAAGTGTAGCACTGCCAAGCCTACAAGCATGCTGCGGGGGGGGAGTTCCCAAGGTGGAGTACCTTATATTTGTCGGTATTGAATATCATCAGGTTTGAATCTGCCCATTTTTTCAGCCTATCCAAGTCAACCTGGATCACATTCCTATCCTCAGGTGTGGACACTGTACCCCAAAGTTTGGTGTCATCGACAAACTTGGCCAGTCTGCTTCTGACACCAGAATCCACATTGTTGATAAAGACATTAAAGAGAACAGGTCCAAGGACAGAGCCTTGTGGGACACCACTGATCATGGAGCGCCATCATGATTCATTTCCATCGATCACCACTCTCTGAGTCCAGCCTCAGAGCCAATTCCCCAGCCATCGGACTGTGATGCAGCCAAGTTTGAGTTTCCTCTCATTGGTTAATTCAGCTTTCGCTGCATAATGAGTCAGACTTTGTTTCATTAACTTTCACTTTAATTCTGGTCTTCCAAAATCCTTGCAACTCCTCTCCCCCCTGGCTTGGTATCATCTGAAGTGTTTTCAGTGTGTTTTCTACCCCATTATCTGAGTTAGTAAAGAAAATACCAGATAGAACCAGGCCAAGGGCTGTCCCCTTCCAGATCACACTTGAAGTGTCTCTCCAATTTGAAAGCAACCACTCATAACTGCTCTCTGAAAAAAAAATTTTTCACCTGTTTGGACATTCATTTTATGGTAACATCTTATAGAATAGGGATGCTCAGCCCCCAGCCTGTGGGTCAGATCCAGGCCCTGGCTCCATGTCATACAGTTTCAGGATTCCCCACATCCAAAAATTTAGTGGCAGTGGAGTGGTGGCAGGACTCCCCAACCGCCAAATTTCTGGACTCTAGACTATGTGCACTAATTAGGTGCTCAGGTCCTGCTCCCGGCATACAGGGATGGCACTGGGTCCTGGAGCTTGATCCTGGCACAAAGGGCCAGGAGGAGATGGCACAGGGCCACAGGGCCCAATCCCAGTGGGTGGGGTTGATGTGAGGCCTGATCCCACACATGAGGCCCCAGAGGCCAAATCCAGTATATGAGGTCAGCATCAGGCCCCAATCCCAGCATACAGGGGTCATCTGAGGCCACATGGGGCCCTATCTGGGCACACAGGGCTGGGCAGCCACAGCATGGAGTTCAGTCTAGCCCCTGGACCAGCCCTACGGTGCTTATCTCGCCTGTAAAACCAGAAGGACAGAAATTTGTTACGGTAAGGGTTGCCAAAATATGGAATGGACTTCCAAGGGAGGTGGTGCTTGCCCCTGCCTTGGAGGTGTTCAAGAGGAGATTAGACAAGCATATGGCTGGGGTCACTTGACCCCAACGCTCTTTCCTGCCCAGAGCAGGGGGTCGGACTCGATGGTCTAATAGGTCCCTGACCACCCTAGAAATCTACGAAATCTATGAAATCTACACTTGGGCACCACTGTAGAACATATTTCCCATCTGCATATGAGAAAGTCCTCTGGGACAGGGTCAAAACCCTTATTCAGTCATGATATAGCACATCTGCTTCCCTGTTATCCTCTAAGCCAGTTACCACATCAAAAATGAAACATTAAATTGTTTTGACACTAGCTCCTCTTGACGTATCTATACTGACTGTGTCTTATTTCCTTTTTATACTGTAAGGGCCAGATTTCATTCCATCTACAGGGCATCCAAATGGACTTATGTCCCTATGTGCACCTCTCTATTCCACCCTGCTCAAGTCCTGAAAATCCATGAACATCTGCTTTTGTAACAAAATATCATCTTATCTTTAAGAATGAGTCACAGAAAGCAACTGGAAGGAGGAGATTCCACCTTTTGCATTAACTGTTCTTCTGGGTCTTGTACACAGGGGAATAGTCACACTCAAGCACTTAAGTCAGTTTTTCCCCAACTTCTGATGCCTGGGGCACACCTGTTTCTCAGATTAAAACTGGCAGCTCATTTCACTCACCAGTCTGCAGCTGGAGCCCCATCCCCCCCACACAGAGCTGGTGGAGCTAGGACCCCATTCTGCTGCGCAGGGCTGGCCCACCCAGTGCCCAATTCAGCCCATTTTTCATGGCACACTTCCATCCCGCTCATGGCACACTAGTGTAACACAGCACACGCTCTAGGAATCACTGGCTGGAGTCCTTTTACATGCCTAATAAATGGAAAAGAATCTGGCTCTAAATGCTTATAAATTAATTGTTTAACCATTTGTTCTAGTATCTTTCTCAGAATTGATGTTACATTTGTAGGTTTATAATTCCTCAGGTCCTCCTTGTTAAAGTTAAGTACTACATTTACCCTTCTTCAGTCCTCTGAGACCTCCTATTCAACCTAACCCTGAGTTCACTGACAGCTTTTTCTGAAGATCCTCAACTTATGTACATTCACTGTAGTTACTCAGTTTACACTAACTGATCATAGGGTTGGTTGTGCCTAGTAAAAATTAATCCATTTACCAGATTCTCATCCATTAAACCAATTTGGATTAATTTCCTATTTCACTGAAGTTATACAAGATTTGCATTAAATTAAGCAAGGTGACTCTTGTCCCTGGTTAGGGTTTGTAGAATGTATCTGCATTTGTGCAAAGAAAATGCCCATCAGGGAGAGTACAAAAGGGAATAAGCCAAGGGACTGTTGAGAAGGAAGGATTGCCCAAAGGTTCAGGTTCACATTATATCTGTGGCAGAATGATTTTGCTGTCCTGCAAAGGTTTTTTGAGATTTCAAAATGTTACTGGTCTACAGCAATATGAAACTCAGACCTTTTGAACGAGAGAGAGAGATTGAGAGCAGGATTCAGGTGCTATAATAGCCAGATGGTTAGAGCATTCCCCCAAGATGTCAAGTGACAAGGTTCACGTTCCTTCTCCAAGGTTTGCCCACATCCCAATTGAGTGCCCTAACTACCAGCTGTTCTGAGATGGCTTGGTCATTGCGTTGTTGGGCTTCATCACAAATGCCACCCTAGACTTGATAAGTCTCTCTCAACAAAAGTTTAATCAAAACTGCTATATTTCCATGAAAAGTTTTGGTAGATGAATATGTATTTTTCTAATAACGAATTCCCAGACATCTCTAGCCCAAATAAGCTTTGGATAAATAACCATAGGTTTTAGTGTTTGTCAAACTGAATCTTTGAATCTAGGATGATATGTTAATCTTCAAACACTCATAAATTGTCATCAGAATTGTTTTCTTGATTAACGCAGGAACGCATATTTCCATACATAGGCATGGATAGTTACTATAGGCATTACACCACTGTGAGAAGTAGCAGTAAGGCAGACAGAAGACATAAACCCCTATACATAGTAAAATCACCAAGTCTACTGTAGAAGTACTCCTGAAATTTTCTGGGGTAAAACTCCACCAGTGAAATTTACTTTGGTTTAAGATTCATCTGTCTGCATCCATCTTGGGTAATCATGTGCTAAAGGCAAATATGCTGTTACTTGCTCTCCACTGCCTAGTGATGGGACTCAGAAATAGCTGCCTGCTGCATGAAGCTGACCCAGGATAACTACATGTCTGTCTGTTCCTTATCTGAGTATAATTTATATCAGTATATAAACCCAATTTAAGTTACACCAGAGTATGTGAGTATGTGTCCAATCCATGCCTCTATATTAGTTCTGCTAAGATATGCTTTAAATGGCTTTAGGAATTCTTTATCTTTAATACTGTGTTAAGTTCAAATGATTCAGTTTAAGTATGCAATGATACAAGATAGATAATGTACAAGAATAAGAAAACAACATAACAAAGTGCTAAATTGTAAATGTTCATTTCTCATTTTCTGTGGACTCTTTTGATCTTTTTCCTTTGTCTTCAGTCCAGCTACCATCTAATCAAGTTTCTCAGGGTGTCAAGAAGTCAAAGTCACAGTCTTTAAACTCTTTAAAGACTGGCGCAGCTATTCTCCCACCAGCACTTAACTCCAAATTCCAGAAAGGAGGAATTTCTCAGAGTCACTCACTGTACTCCTTCTTGCCTGGTCTATCAGGAGAACCTCTAAAAACAAGCCGTGTCCTACCTGCTATCCCAAGCCAGAAGAGATCCAGCCTCACAGCAGAAGACCTTAAGAAATCTCCCAGCAAATCAAATGTTGAAAATTAGCTCATTATGCTTGCCTCAGACATGAAAGCTGAAATATTTCTAAGCATTTTATTACATGATTACAGTACAGTAGAACCTCACTGATTCACAGCAATCAAAGCTCTTGTTAACTGCAGTGTTAGTGAACAAAGAATTAAAAAGAAAGGATAATGCGTCGTAAAAGATACTCTGTGCATTTATGGTAGATATTTGCCACATAGTTTTAATTTATGAGTTGGAGAAGACCTTAGTAACATACTATAATCCCTTTTGTGAAAGGGGTCCTAGTATTATACAGCTTCCCTCCAGCACTGTGTTTACTAAACAGCAAGTGTGTCTACACAAGGTGCTTACTGCACAGTAGACTAATCTACCGTGCAGTAAAGTATCACTGTCTACATGTGTGCAGCATTTATTGTGCAGTAAATTAGTTTACTGCACGGTTGCCAACTATCTGAAAATACAAGTCGTAGATTAACCATGCAGTAACTACCGTGCAGTAGTGCACATATAGACTGCTGACCAGGAGCAAATTGCTCCTGGTCAACCCAGATTGCAGGGAGTGGGGAAACTGTCCCTTCCCCCAAGCAACTGCTTCCTAGCCCCATGCCTCAATCAGCACATCAGGGCATGGGGCTGAGAAGCAGCAGCTGGGGTGGGGACATTTTCCTAGCCCCATGCC